CCGTTTAGGTTTCCTTGGGATGGCATTTCCGCAAATGCCGCATCTTCCTTTCATTCTCTCCTCCTCTCTCTCTCTTTCTTTTCTATTATTTTAGGTGTCTCTTTCAGATCTCCGTTTAGGTTTCCTTGGGATGGCATTTCCGCAAATGCCGCATCTTCCTTTCATTCTCTCCTCCTCTCTCTCTCTTTCTTTTCTATTATTTTAGGTGTCTCTTTCAGATCTCCGTTTAGGTTTCCTTGGGATGGCATTTCCGCAAATGCCGCATCTTCCTTTCATTCTCTCCTCCTCTCTCTCTCTTTCTTTTCTATTATTTTAGGTGTCTCTTTCAGATCTCCGTTTAGGTTTCCTTGGGATGGCATTTCCGCAAATGCCGCATCTTCCTTTCATTCTCTCCTCCTCTCTCTCTCTTTCTTTTCTATTATTTTAGGTGTCTCTTTCAGATCTCCGTTTAGGTTTCCTTGGGATGGCATTTCCGCAAATTCAAATATAATTTGATATCATTTCTTATTCCCTTACCTTCGCTAATCTATCCTAACTATATTTTCCTCCCCTTTATATCTCGCTTTTGGATATATACTTATATATTTAATATTTTCTTTTTTGTTTTCCCCTTCTTCTCCCCTTTTCCATTTAACAGCGCATCGTCGGGGTTCTATATCTTCTCCCTACTTTCTTTTCTAGTTTCCTTTCTCTAGCCAATCATAAAATCTTCCCCATGTCTTGAAGTATTCTGGACGGTTCACCGACAAATGCGCGCACAACAAAACCACGTCGACAAAAGCGCAGCGAGAAAACCACGATGTCAAAATTGCGCCCACAACAGCGCACCGACAAAAGCGTGCCATCAACAATGTGAAAACAAGGTAATAACCCTAACCCTAACCCTAACCCTGAACCTAACCCTAACCCTAACCCTTACCTTAACCCTAATCGCACTTTTGTCAGCGTGCTGTTGTGGGCGCAATTTCAACGTCGCGGTTTTCTCGCCGCGGTTTTGTCGGCGCGCTTTTGTCGTGCGCGCATTTGTCGGGTCACGCTCTGGACTACATTCTACCGCACCTTAGGCTGAAGACTGAAGTCGAAAAACAGTGGAAAGAAGAAACAACCCAAAATCCAGCTACTCACCATATAACGCAAAGGCTTCCTTGACAGTGACAGGAATGCCCAGCAAGGGGAATTTTTTCTGGAGTGATTCTTCATCTTCTTGTCCGTCAGAAAGCAGCTGGTCAACCACCTGGGCCTCTTGCAAGGCAGCCTCAAACCTGAGCAGATGGGTAAGGAAAGAGCAGGGAGGTTAATAAACGGAGATCTCTAGCTAACGTTTTAGGGAGCTGGAGGCTAAAACATATGAAGAATGGTTGCAGGAACTGGGTATGTCTAGTTTGATGCAGTGGCTCAGTGGCTAAGACGCTGAGCTTGTCGATCAGAAAGGTTGGCAGTTCGGTGGTTCGAATCCCTGGCGCCATGTAACGGAGTTCGAAAGCATGTAAAAATGCAAGTAGGAACCGCCTTTGGTGGGAAAGTAACAGCGTTCCGTGCGCCTTCAGCGTTTAATCATGCTGGCCACATGATCACAGAGATGTCTTCAGACAACACTGGCTCTTCAGCTTTATAACAGAGATGAGCATCGCCCCCTGGAGTCGGGAACGACTAGCATGCATGTTTGAGGGGAACCTTTACCTTTACCTTATACTTGATTGGAAAGAGTGTGGGAATTGTTCCTGACATATGGGAGTCTCTGCCATTCATCAAAGCAGCTATGCTTCGAGCTTCTGCTGAAGTTAAAAGATGCTGCTTTGAGAAGTTGACTCATTAAAGCAGCTGCCTTTTTAAGGCTGAGCAGAATCCTGGACAAAGAAGTGACTGCTTTAATGATGAACTATCTTCCTAGTTAGCTCTTTGGCTTTGAAACGGAGATGAGCACCGCCCCCTAGAGCTGGGAAGGACTAGCACGTATGTGCAAAGGGAACCTTTTTTGGAAAAAAATCTGAATGGCCACAAGATGGCAGCTAACAGTCAAACCCTTCCCTTCCTCCCTAGTCAACTCTGGAACTCTGCAACCCAGATATGAAAAACCCTACTTTATCTACGAAGAAGGCTGCAGAAAAATGGGTCAAGGCAGTGAGAAATTGAAGTAAATATAGCCTGATTTAAAAAGGAGGACTGTTTCGATTGTGAGATGCTTTGGATCCAAATTGCTGAACAGGATGTTCTTGGAGACACCCAATGCAGCCTTCCTCCTCCCCTTGTCCATTAAGCAGCTCCTATCTTCTTGTCTTCAATTCAGGGTTGTACAAGGCCAGTGAAATGGTGAGAAAGGGCTTGGAAGGGAGAAAAGCTTGCAATTTTTTTTTTACTTTTGCCAGGCCTATGTAGCAAATCCCCTAGAAGGGGACGGTTGGAAGAAGAATTCTCAAGGCACTGCCCCGATAGAGCGAAGGGAAAGGGAACCAGCAAGATTTTGAAACAGGGAAGAGCTTCCTCCAGCAAGCCATACCTGTCTGCCCTTTCCTCCCCAGATAATAACCCAGAACCTGTTGGACAGAAAGTGAAAGCTTTTCCAGCTTACCTGTCTTTAACAATAGCATTGATGAGCGGGTTCACCTGCTTGATCCTCTCAATGTAGGTTTCAAGGAGATCAACGCACTTCAACTGCGAGGGATGAGAACAAAATTTTAATTACATCAATTATAGATGGACATTGAACATAAGAGATGAAGGAGATACAGAATACTATTTAATGCGGATTAGTTTTTTTTCCCAATGGTTAGATAAGAGGCAGAAATTAGATGGAGAGGCTGAAAAGGCTGTAACGATGGGGAAAGATGGTCGTAAATTTCATTTTTCAGTGTCGTTATCACTTCGAATGGCCTCTAAATGAATTGTTGCAAGTCAAGGGCTACCTGTATTGATGTAGGGGCAAAGGTTTGGACCTCTCAGCATGTTTAAAAAGGAGTAAATGGCCACATTATTTATAAATCAGTTTCATTCCATTTAACCCAGCTGATGTAAAACGCCCTCGAGGTGAGGGAAAACATAAAACTCATCAAGTAAATGAATAAGAACTCAATGATGTTCTAGGTAGTGTAAATGTTGTGCGGGACGCGGTGGCTCAGTGGCTAAGACCCTGAGCTTGTTGATCAGAACAGTCGGCACTTCGGCGGTTTGAATCCCTAGTGCTGCGTAACAGAGTGAGCTCCCGCTACTTGTCCCAGCTTCTGCCAACCTAGCAGTTTGAAAGCATGTAAAAAATGCAAGTAGAAAAATAGGAACCACCTTTGGTGGGAAGGTAACAGTGCTCCATGTGCCTTCGGCATTTAGTCATGCTGGCCACATGACCACAGAGACATCTTCAGACAGCGCTGGCTCTTCGGCTTTGAAACGGAGATGAGCACCACCCCCCTAGAGTCGGGAACGACTAGCGCATATGTGCGAGAAGAACCTTTACCTTTAAATAGTGCGCAAATCTCTCTGAAGATCAGGCCAATCTTAGCCAAATAGTTGTTTATATGTTTTCCAGGCTTCCATAAAGAAACAAATGATAATCTGTTTAGTGGAAAAACAAACACGAAACTGGATGTGCAGGTTTAGGAGGCGACAGGAAGTACACCCATTGAAAACTCTTAGGAATTCTGATGAGTAGTATCAGAAGATTTCTGTCTGGTGTTTAAAAATCTACATGTGTAATTAGGCAGCTCAAAGCCTTTGCTTGCTATGGCGGAGTAAGGTGAGCTAAACCTGATTGGATTCTTTGTCAACACCCATACAGGTAGTTCTCAACGTACAACAGTTTGTTTAGTGACCATTCCAGTGGTGGGATTCAGCCGGTTCGCACCTATTCGGGAGAACCGGTTGTTAACTTTCTAAGCAGTTGGGAGAACCAGTTGTTGGAAGAAATCTCCTTTTGTTTTTTCCCACTTTAAAGGGCTAATCCTGTAAAGAAGGCAGGAAGGAGACATTCTGGTATTGTTTCTAGCCGAATCTTGATTGCCCTGCTTACAGAAACTGCCTCTCTGGTTAACCCTTATTACATTGTCACAGCTAAGGCGAAGCGCCCCTT